TTTTTTTTTTTTTGAGACAGAGCCTCAAGCTGTCCCCCTGGGTAGAGTGCTGTGGCATTACAGCTCACAGCAACCTCCAACTCCTGGGCTCAAGCCGGTCTCCTGCTTCCGCCTCCCAAGTCGCTGGGACCACAGGCACCCACCACAACGCCTGGCTATTTTTTTTTGGTTGCAGCCGTCATTGTTGTTTGGCGGGTCCAGGCTGGGGATTTGAACCCGCCACCTTAGGTGTACGTGGCTGGCGCCTTAGCTGGTTAAGCTATAGGCGCCGAGCCAAGGGGTTGGCTTTTTAGGGCCTGGTCTGCATCCTGGTTGGCACGCAGGCTGTCCCGGTGCATCCGGGTAAGGTAGCAAGAATTGAGCCCAGGAGTTGGAGGTTGCTGTGAGCTGTGATGTCACAGCAATCTACCAAGGGTGACAAAGTGAGACTCTTGTCTCCTCCCCCCAAAAAAGAAAAGAAAAAACCGCAAATAGCCAAAGAAAGAAAGATGATTCTCCTAAGACGTAGCACTTCTGTTAACCACACTCCAGATTTCAGAAACAGTAACAAGATGAAATATTTATAATAAATTTTGCAAATTTCAGTACTATCCTGCCATCTGGAGTGATACTGATTAAGCGAGTAAGGTGTTTTTTGGAAAAGCTGAGGCAGCACCCTTGAATATGACTTCCTTGGTGCCTCACTAGAGGCTGGAAGGCTCACCCAGCACTTGTCATTCCCAGGGGGCTAGAAGGCATTGAGGCTCTCAGGAGGTAGGACAATTTCTAGCTGGTGAAGTGAGCTCTGGCATGAGACATTCAAAGAAGTGTGCTCAGAAGAGAGTGTAGGACCCAGACTTTTCAGAAGGGACTTACTCAGTCCCAGAAGAAGTTTCCTTTTCTCCCACCTGGTGGCCTTGGATTATAGAATAGTGAGTGAGTGTTAACACCAAGTCATCAGACTGTTGCTGGCGTGGAGTGGGTGGAGCTACCAGTTGATACACATTGGGTAGGAAGGGTGTGGGGAGAAATAGCTGGTACCCTATCAGAGCAAAAAGAAATGTAGATACTACTTCCCTTTTAAACATGACAACTATGCAAATATTATACACAAAGGAACAGTAAGAAAAGGAAAATTCAAGCCTTAGAAAAAAACCTTTAGTCTGGAGGAAAATAAAACTTAAGGAACAGAAGAAACAAAGTTTTCAAGCCTGCTTTCCTGGCCACCATACACCATGGTTAAAATGATATGCTCTCTCCCCCATTCACACTCACATTTATCAGCTGTCATCTCTCCTCATTAGAATATATGCTGCCCTGTGAGGATTGGAATTTATGTTTCTGTGGTGTACTGAAAGGCCTGTCACTCACACCATTCACGTTATAATCTCATGCAGATAGCCTTCCTTGGCACGGAGAAAAGACTGGAGATACTCAGTTACTCAGGGAAAGGGTGGAGAGCGCAGATTTGGAGAGAAGATCAGAGTTGTGCTACAAAGACTAAAAGAATTCAGAAAGATTATTGATGTCCAGAAAGCACAGAGAGGCTTAGAAATTTAGTGCAAGATAAATGTTCTGAAACAATAGAATGGAATTTGCAGAATAAAGGCCATTCTAAACTGTTCCACCTGAAAGGGCAACAAAATCCATGTATGGTCTATGAACAGTCTGGCTAACACGATACTCATTGGCAAAGTGAGTATCATGTCTCCACATTCATTCGAAAACCAAAACATTTGAAAATAAATGAGCTCATCTTTGAACTCAAGGAGATGGTAAAATGAGAATAAAACACAAAAAGTTGATAAAGATGAGAGAAGGGAGAGAGGGTCAGTAAAAAAAGGTGAAGGAGGAAGTGCATGAGAGACTGCTTTTTACCTATCAATTTAGAAAACTTGGGGGATTTAAGATTCAGGTGACTACTTTTTGTGACTATTTAGGGGGATGTTAATAGGTGTAGAGATGGTTAGATTCTTTATAGGGCCCCTTGGTAGTATGCAATGAAATAAATTATATCTCTTGACCTGGCAGTTTGAATCTTTGGAATTTGTCCTATAGAAATGTTAATAGAGCATGCAAGGATAATAAGGATGTTAGTAGCATTCTTTTTTTTTGAGACAGAGTCTTGCTTTGTTGCCCTCAGTAGGGTGCTATAGCATCACAGCTCACAGCAACCTCAAACTCTTGGGTTCAAGTGATTCTCTTGCTTCCAAGTAGCTGGGACTATGGACTCCCATCACAACGCCTGGCAGTTTTTTTTTTTTTTTTAAGAGATGGAGTCTCACTCTGGCTCAGGCCAGTCTCCCAAACCTGTGAGCTCAGGCAATTCACCATCTTTGGCCTCCCAGCGTGCTAGGATTATAGGCGTGATCCACCAGGCCCAGCCAAATAGCATTCTTAATGGCAAAAAATTGCTGACTATGTAAATCTACTCATGGAACATTTAATGGCTAATCCAAAAGAAAGAAAAGAAAGAAAGGAAATAGTCTGGCACTATGGCTCATACCTATAATTCCAGCACTCTAGGAGGCAGTTATAGGAGGATCACTTGAGGCTAGGAATTTAAGACCAGCTTGAGCAACATGGTCAGACCTCTTCTCTATAAAAAACAGAAAAATCAGCCTGGTGTGGTGGTGTGTGCCTATAGGTCCAGATACGCAGGAGGCTGAGGCAGGAGGTTTATTTGGACCCAGGGCTTTGAGGTTCTAATGAGATATGATGATGCCACTGTGTTCTAGCCTAGGCAACAGAGTGAGATCCTGTTTCAAAATAAAAAAAAAGGAAGTAGATTTGCCATGAACTGACAAAACAAGTTGTACATTTCACATTTAGAAAAGATTGTTTTAAAATATTATATATCTACAATAAATCATATCTGGATATGATTTTAAAATGTACATATATTCCTAATGCATGTCTCAAGTGAGTTGATGGAGTTCTTAAAACAAGTTTTTTTTTCAGGAATTCTGATGCCAACCTGGGTTTGAGAATCATTGAAATGTTAGATTGCTTCAACTAGCATACTTTTTTCTTTTCTCTAGGGCGTGGAAATTTACACTCCAGGATTCCAGAACAAACACAGTAAGCTGCTAATGGCGTTCAACCGTAACATTTTTGGGTGGTTTTGGGTAACAATTGGGGAATAGGAGGTTGGAAAGGGAAATTGAGTAGACACGGTTTCTTGGCCATCTAGCCATCCATGAAGGAGCAGGCAGAGCAGGGCAGGGCGGGTTTGGCTGATGACGAACATGATAAATGTTTTGCAGGAGGAGCTGCCTCACATAGGCATGCTCCTTCTAGTGTTTTCTGGAAAAGTTCGTATTCCTCAAATATCTGCACTGTGGTTTGCAGTGAAGTCTCCAAAACGACGACTGGGGCCTCTTTTTACGTACAGGATCTCAGCCTTGCGAAGCAACACGTTTTTGTACTCCTACTTGTCTCTCATGCTGTTTCTGGCCTTAGGAGGCCACTGGCAGTGAAGTCCAGTCATAGAGCCTAGTAATGCCTCCTTTATTATCTGTCAGGAATCAAGGCAGCATTACTGGTAACCATGTTCTCCAGATGGGATTTTATTATCTCCTTTATCTCTATAGGAGAAAAATATCTCTGTAGGTCAAGTTTTAAAAGAGTATGTGCATGTGTGAAAAGAAAGTAAAAAGGTTAATGTTCTGTCAATGTTTGCTCTTATTAGCCCATTTCTTCTCCTAAACTTATTCTGCAGCTCCAGTTACCTTTTCTTTCATGCAAGTCCTCTCTTTGGGTGAAATTAGAGGCAAGATCCCAAAGTATGGATTTCTTTTTTTTTGAGACAGGGTCTCACTTTGTTGCCTGGGCTAGAGTGCAGTGTTGTCCTCAGAGCTCACGGCAGTCTCAAACTCCCGGGCTCCATCGATCCTCCTGCCTCATTCCCCTAAGTAGCTGGGACTATGGGCGCCCACCACACCTGGCTAATTTTTAAAGTTGTTCTGGAGAGATGGGGTCTCACTCTGTTGCTCAAGCTGGCCTTGAACTTCTGGCCCCCCAGGGTTCTTTTCTCCTTGGCCTTCCAAAGTGCTAGGATTTCAGGCATGCCCTGGCTATATGGTTTGTTTTTATTTAAAAGCGCCCATATATATTTCTTTTCCACTGGGGATTAATTTAATGAAGAATTTCTTCATTAACAGAAAAAACAGACTGTGTACAGTGAATCTCTGACTGCTACACTTCACATTATAGGGTTTTTATTTGTGAACAAAAAGATTGTTGGGAATGGTATAACATCTTTTCAAAGACTTTGGTTAATAGTGGTTGTTAACCACTGTGGCCTTCCTGGGGTGTGAGAGCTCTGCTTTTGTTGGCTGAGTGAGGACACTTTGGGGACTCCCACTCTACTAACAGGAGTTTCCTAGTTCTCAGAGAGCTGTAATTTTTTTGTCCTTTAAACTTTTATTTGCTAAATAAAAGGGATGTATGCACAGCATCACTGAGCAGTGCAGAAGCTTGGCAGCTTCCCGCTCTCATCCTCTTCTCTCTCTCACAGGCCTATGTGGGCTCTGCGGTCATGACTGATGAGACAGCTGTGGTTTCTTCCCCTCCTCCGTACACGGCGTATGCCACACCGACACCTGAGGTAGGGCGCACACCTTAGCATCCACATGAGTGAAGCTTGAGGTCTTTCTTTTTTCTTTGAAACAGAGTCTCACTTTCACCCTGGCTAGAGTGCTTTGGCATCATAGCTCACAGCAACGTAAAACGCTTGGGTTCAAATGATCCTCTTACCTCAGCTCCCCAAGTAGCTGGGACGATTGGCACCTGCCACAATGCCTGGCTGTTTTTTTAGAGATGGGGTCTCGCTCTTGCTCAGACTGATCTGGAACTCCTGAGCTCAGGCAATCCACTTGCCTCAGCCTCCCAGAGTGCTGGGATTATAGGCATGAACCACTGCGTCTGGCCTTGTATTTTCATTTTTAAATTTTGAGCCAGTATTAGAGAAATTTCTTTCTCTAAACCAGCGGTTTTCAACCTGTGGGTTGTGACCCCTTTGTAACAATGAAAATACATCATGGTATTAGGAAGGTTGAGAACCACTGTTCTAAACCTTTTTCTTCATTGTAAACAGATGATTCCTTATTGGGTGTTGCTTTCATGAAAAAAAGCAGCTACTTTATATTTTTATTTATGTTAAACAAATTTTGTTTTTAAGATAGGCCCCAAGATGAATTATGTTAATCATAATTGCTTTGGTTAATGAGATTTTGATGACTTAAAGTTATATGTAGTGAATTACTTCAATTCTTACAATCAGTAAGAAAACTTTTTTTTTTTTTTTTAAAAAAAACAACTTTAAATAAAATGCCTAGTACCTGGGATACCCCCAGTCCTTAGGGTGCTGACTGTCCATGGGTATGTATGTCAGTCTATTATGTGGTGCACCCTACTTTTTTGGGTAACTTTTAATTTTGAAATAATTATAAATTCACAAGAAGTTGCAAGGGGAGAATAGTCAGTCTTGTTGGGGCCTGGGTCCCTACAGCTCTTGCCAGGATCTGCACTGAGGACAATTGACTTGAGAGAAAACTCAGACTCAGGTGAAATAACCGATGGAGCCTGTGAGAGGCTTACACTCAGCCAGCAGCCAGCACGTGCAGCACCAGCCCATTCTCCTTACATCTCTTTATTCAATCAAAAATCATAAATCATGTTGACAGCATAATGCGTAAACTTAATTTGAGTTATTCAAAGCAAGGTGCCTCAAGTAATCATTAACAATCAGAAGAGAAACAAAGGAAAGGAAAATCACGTAGGCACACTGTGCGAATTACAATTTACACTTTACAGTTTAGGGATAAACTGGCCTAATTCACTTCAGTCATTTCCATCTGTGCCTAGGCAGGACTCAGGTGATAGTAATCTTTGGTTGCTACGTAGGCATTCTCTTCTCAGCTACCAGGTAACAATTTAGCCTTCTGTAGGGCCTGAAAAAATGGGAGACAGGGGCACAGGATCTGGGCTGTGGTCAACAGGACCCCAGAATTCTAGCCATGAGCGCTGCCGGGTGCCAGGCATCCTCTGTAGACCACCAGGCTATTGCTAGCCTTGAGGGATTTGAGGAACTTGGGCTCTGGTCAACAAGTCCTCCAGGAATGCCTGGCCTAAACTACACTACAAACCTGACTCCCACACCGTCTCATGTAGTTTTCACCTAGTTTCTGTTGCAAGTTAGATCAAATCAAACCTAGGAGTTTGCAATTGATAACATTGTTTATGTCTAATATATGTCATTTTATGAAGTATAGATTGTATAACGGCCGCCTCAGTCAAGTTATAGAATTCTTCACTCCTACAGTAATCTTTTACAGTCATAAAAGGTTTTATATCCTCCCTCCCCTTCTTTAACTCTGTCAACCACTGATCTGTTCCTAGCTATGTAGTTTTGTCATTTTAACGGTGTACATGGCCTCATACAGTAGGTAATCTTTTTTTTTTTTTTTTTTTGAGGCAGAGTCTTCCTCTGATGTCCTGGGTAGAATGCAGTGGCATCATAGCTCACAGCAACCTCAAACTCCTGCACTTGAGCAATCCTCTTGCCTCATCCTTCTAAGTAGCTGGGACTACAGACACTCACCACAGTGCCCAGCTAGTTTTTCAGTTCTTAGTAGAGATGATGTTTCACTCTTGCACAGGCTGGCCTTGAATTCCTGAGCCAAAGTAATCCACCTCCCTTGGCCTCCCAGAGTGCTAGGATTATAGATGTGAGCCTTTAATTTTCATTTTAAAGATTATTTTATTCAAATATGATTTTTATTGCTACTTGACACCAGGGGGTGGGATGGGGATGTCTTCCATCTGGTAGGGATGAATTATCAGCTTTGCACTCAGCCTTCTCTGACAATATTTGGAGAAGGTACCTTTTTTGGTTTTTGTTTTGTTTTTGAGACAGTATTACTTTCTTGCCTTCATTGAAGGGTTGCTCACAGCAACCTAAAACTCTTGGGCTTAAGGGATATTGTTGCCTCAGCTTCCCAAGCCTGGCTAGTTTTTTTTTTTTAAATTTTTAGTAGAGACAGGGTTTTGCTCTTGCTTAGGCTGGTCTGAACTCCTGAGCTCAGGCAATCCACCTGCTTCTGTCTCCCAGGGGGTTAGGATTACAAGGCCAGAGGTGTCTTATTAACGCTTGCTGAGCATGGAAGTCCAGGCTTTCATACTTGGCTTTTGCTTCTGAGAGTAGAGGTGGGCCTTCAGGTGTTTCTCTGATGTTGGCTTATAGTCAAGTGATTTTTGTCTAAAAATTTGTCTTTTGCTAGATTGCCTTGCTTTCTTAGGTTCTTTGGTCAGGAGACTAGGCCCGTCTTGGGCCTTTCTTGTTTGTACTGATTGGCATTTTTAGGTTGCCAACTTCTCTGTTACCCAGGGTACATGAAGGTAAAGAGAAACCCAGGGGACTCACTATGCGTCCTCCTTTAGGTCCTAAAGTCCCTGGCTGCCTTCTGTCCACCATCCAGTCTTTTGTATCTGTTTTATATATAATATCCAGGGATTTTAGTTGTACTTAGCAGGAGCAATAGGGGGAAAACATGTCTACTCCACCTTCCAGAAGCAAGAGGCTTATCTCCTGCATTTATAAAATGACAGATTTAGAACTATACACACATTGGCCTGGTCACAGTCCCTGTTCTCTTCTCTGTCAGGACACTTGTCATAGATGACATTAAGTATAATTGTAAGCTTGTCTGCTCCCTCTCACGCTTCAGTGCATAAGGAAGCTGGACTTTGTTTGGGTATTTCATGTATATGTAGTCATTTGCTTAGTCACCCCCTCACTGCTGTGCCCTCCGTAGGTTTGAGTGGCTGGGAAGCCATGAGTCACCTGCCCAGGTACTTCCGGCATCTTCATCCTCCATATTTTGCTTAGAATTGCTGAAACTGGGCCAGGGAGCATTATGCTTCTGACCTGACTTCACCCAGAGAATACTGCTTTTGGATAAATCTTATTAGTGCCTAGTCCAATCTGATCATTTTACAGATGAGCAAATCCTTTGTTTCCCTTCTGATTGTTAATGATTGCTTGAGGCACCTTGCTTTAAATAACTCAAATTAAGTTTACGCATTATGCTGTCAGCATGATTTATGATTTTTGATTGAATAAAGAGATGTAAGGAGAATGGGCTGGTGCCGCACGTGCTGGCTGCTGGCTGAGTGTAAGCCTCTCACAGGCTCCATCTGTTATTTCACCTGAGATAACTGAGTCTGAGTTTTTTCTCAAGTCAATTGTCTTCAGTGCAGATCCCAGTTTAGGGCCAAATTAGTTAGGTAGGGGACTCAATTAAGGTCAAAGTAATGGTTCCACTGAATTAAAATCCAAATCTCTTGTAAGTCCAGTTTTTTTTTGGTTGTATTTTTCTGCCTTCTTTCTACAGCCTGAAAGTGGACTGTGATTATAGAGTCACTACAATTTTTTTAAACTAATTTTTTTAAAAAAAGGGCATAACACTGTCTTATTTTTTTATTATTGACTGTTAAATGTTGTTAATTACAACCTGGAAACCTAATTTTAATACATTATCAAGGATTTCAAAATTGTCTTTCTAACAGACCTGTTTCTTTTCAGCAGGCATATGGCTATGGTCCATACGGTGGTGCATACCCACCAGGAACTCAGGTTGTCTATGCTGCCAATGGGCAAGCGTATGCTGTGCCCTACCAGTACCCGTATGCAGGTAACTCGCGCCAGTCTTCCATGTCCTACTTCTCTTCCTTCACTGGGTAGACCAGCGAAGCCTAAAGAATTTTTATTTTTTATTTAAGGTTAAGTGAGTTACGTTTTCTGATTACAGACTAAAAATCACTCTACTGCTGTTCTTAAAATAAGTCTTTTCTATTTTCACACTGCTTAGCAGTGTGCTAAGTCACAGAGAAAGTCAAGCTAGAGTAGGCTTGATTTTTAGAACTTTGCTATAGTATCCAGATTAGCTCCCAAGAAAATAATTTTGACATATTGGGGTTCATTTATTAAGAAGCACCCAAAGTAGGAGGCCCGTTTTAAGGGAGGAGAGGTAACCTTTTCACCTGTGTTTTGCTTCTGGTAAGATTCTTGGAAAGTTGTCATGACTGAGGTAATGATCTATTTCACAGTGGAGTGGAGGCCCGGCATTTATTCTGGGCTTTGGATGTGTTCTTCTGATTTTTCACTTCCCATGAAACAGTAAGTGTAACTAAGTGGCTTATGTAGGTGGTGTCACGTCCTGAGCAAGGGGGCTGCAGGGCGGAGGCCTGAGAGAATGCTGGCCACAGCTTGGGGCTGCGTAGGACAGGAGTGGTCGAGGAGGAAGGGAGGGCAGAGCTGTAGCTGATGGCCCTGGTGAAATTGGGCAGGGCAGGTGCAGTGGGGCATGTCATGTTGGTATGTTGGGGGACAGGTTAGAACCAGACCTCTGGCCAGACAGAATGTAGGGGTCTACAGGAGAGAAACTATCTCCGGTTGTAAGGACAACTAGCACAGTGCAAAGGCAGTAGGCGGGGAGCTGGGGGCCCCAAGACCACACTCTTAGATGGTGTCCTTTATCTGATGGTTCCTTTGGCTTCTGATACATTTAGCACCTACTGTAAGAGGTGATGTATTTGAGTAGAAATAGAGAAATACCTCTAGTGCTCAGCTACTCCTGGAATCTGATCCAAGTTCACCTGACTGGCAGTAACTTTGGAGGATTCTGCATTGCTTGACTTCTTTTTATGTCAAGTTTAAGACCAGTAAAATAATAATAAATAATCACGATAGATTAAATATTTGTTCATCCTGTGATCTGACCAGAAGTATTTTTCTTTGAATTATAGTAAGTCCTCACTTACTATAGGTAAGTGATTGATAGGTTCTTGGAACCTCTAAGCTTTAAGTGAAACAACATGTAACAAAACCAGTTTACTATAAGCTAATTAATATAAATAAGAGTTAAGTTCCTGTGGTGTATATCTGGCCACAAAAACATCACCAAATTTGTAAATAAAGACCAAAACACTTCTAATATTAAACATTGAAATAAATGTGACCTATATGTACATTTAAAAAAGATTAATAAAGACAGTTATCTATCCAATTATTCTAGTTTAGGGCAGAGAGTGGCTAGACAGTGTATGGTGGGAACCAGCCCTGGACAGGACACTGTTCCATACAGGTGCACTCAACATAGCCACACTTACTCAGGCAGGGACAGCGTAGACATATTCTTTCACCTAACAAACATATCTTTGGTACTTGGAAGGAAACTGGTATACCTGGAGTAAACCCACTCAGGCATGGGAGAAATATCCTGGACCCACAAAGACAGTGACTCCAGTGGGGAACTGATCCTCCTGCTCCCCGCAATTGCTATTACAACAAGATGACATTAAACAAAATGACATTATTTGACAACCTGCTGCACTTTGCCCATATAAATATTTTATCCTTGTAATCACACATTGCCCTTTTTTTTTGTTTTTTTTTTTTGAGACACTATCACTTTGTCACACTTGGTAGAGTGCCAGGGTGTCACAGCTCACAGGAACCTCAAACTCTTGGGCTCAAGTGATTCTCTTGCTTCAGCCTCCCAAGTAGGTGGGACTATAGACACCTCCCACAATGCCCAGCTATTTTTTTAGACACAGGGTCTTGCTCTTGTTCAAGCTGGTCTTGAACTCATGAGCTCACGCAGTCCACCTGCCTTGGCCTCCCAGAGTGCTAGGATTACAGGTATGAGCCACCATGCCCTTTATTTCTAGTCTGAGTTTTTTTTTTTGTTTGTTTGTTTTTTTTTAATTGAGACAGAGCCTCAAGCTGTCCCCCTGGGTAGAGGGCCGTGGCATTACAGCTCACAGCAACCTCCAACTCCTGGGCTCAAGCGAGTCTCCTGCCTCCGCCTCCCAAGTAGCTGGGACCACAGGCGCCCGCCACAACGCCCGGCTATTTTTTGGTTGCAGCCGTCATTGTTGTTTGGCGGGTCCGGGCTGGGGATTCGAACCCACCACCTTAGGTGTACGTGGCTGGAGCCTTAGCCGGTTGAGCTATAGGCGCTGAGCCTCTAGTCTGAGTTTTAAATCGTATCTTGTTCAGAGTGCTGTGTAATATTATAAGTATTTTTAGTAATTGCATCTTTTATCATACTGGACAGTATATTGAACCTTTTCTTTTCATGTTTTGCTTTTTTGTTGTTGTTGTGGTACTGCTATGAACATCTTTACGCATTTTCTTTTTTATTCCTGTTGAATATGTATTAGCGTGTATTTCTGTATAGGGACGTTTTCCAGCTTAGGATGGCTCAGCTTAACAAAATGTTTTACTTTAAGGTGGTGCAGAGCAATATGCCCTCTGTAGGAACTATACTTCAAGTCCCCCTGTGACCATTCTGTTTTCCACTTTAAGTTCAGTATTCCGTAAAGTACATGAGATAGTCAGCGCTTCATTGTAAAATAGGTTTGTGTTTAATTGATTTTACCCAGTGATAGGCTAACGTCAGTGTTCTGAGTGCATTTAAGATAGGCTGGTGTATTAAATGCATTTTCATTTTGCAGTGGGTTTATCAGGATGTAACCCCATTATAAGTCAAGGAACATTCCTATTAAATTAATACGTCAAAGGCATACTTTTTTGATACCATTAAAATTAGTAAAATTATAATTTTTACGTTATAAAAAGTTGTCAAATGTACAAAAACAGGGGTGATGATACAGGGATGTGCCCATCAGTGGCTTTAGCAGTTACCATATTGTATCTGATCTTTCATCTCTTTTTCCCCTTCCTTTCCTACCTCTGGATTACATTGAGGGAAATCTCAGACTTTATATCATTTCATCTGTTAATATTATGGTATGTCTTGATAGCAGTTTACCAAGTCAGTCCCCAGAACACTGTACCAATATATAATGCCACCTGCTGTTATTGGTACCCTGGTTTCTCCATGGTCCCATAAAGAAGACCTGTTGTGATGCTCCAGAAGCTTTAATAACTTCAGTGGGTCTCAAGGGGGATTGTCGAGCTGCTTTTAGTTTACATTATTAGGATGGCTGGCAAGGTTGAGCACCCTCTTCATGGCTGTTCACTAATTGTCTTTCCTCTTAGAGGAATTATTGTCCTTAGCTTGTTTAACCGTTGGGGTCTTGTGGTGGTGATGCGTGTTGAAGCTCTAGCCTTCCCACATGAGAGCCAGCTTCTTACTTAGCTTCCTGTCCACAGAAGGGGGAGGTCCTGCTGTGTCTTCCTGTATGAAAGAGCAGAAGTATTGCGGAAGTTGTGCAGGGGATTTGTGGACATCAGATTTCACCCTTGCCCTTGCCTTCCCTTGTTAGAGTAGCGTCATACTCTCACGGGCAGCACCTCCTGCATCATTGCTCTGCAGTTTCCAGTGGCAAGTCAACAGCAGACTTCTAGGTTGTGTGATCACAGCCCTCTCTTCTCATCTCTGTAGGTATCTCAATTCCACAACCAGGCGATAATTTGTAGAAGTGACCACTACTTAGTCTTTCCAGTAGCCTTTAACTTAGTTATCATAGGAGCGGTATCTCCCTTTTTCTCGTTCACATTTTTTTGTTGCTGTTGCAGTTTTGGCCAGGGCTAGGTTCAAACCCACCACCCTTGGGACATGGGACCCGTGCCCTACCCCTGAGCCACAGGTGCCGCCCTTGTTCACATTTTGACCATTTATGTAACACTTGGTTAAATTAAGTATGACTGAAAATGTCCACAACTGACTTAGATGAGAACTTAGCTCACTGTGGGGGCAGAGCTAAGTAAGCAGGAGCTGCAAAGGAGTAGCCCCCCATCCTTTGGTAAGGGGACCTCAGTATGACCTACGGGGCTGGGAGAAGAGAGAGTTTAGATTTTCTAGGGGGTATTTTTGTTGGGTCAGCTTACAAGTTCCACTTAGTTGGAGTTCCATAACTGAACATTTTAAAATTTGGGAGTTGTAAAATTAAAGGCCACAAATTCACTAGTTTTGAAATTTAAATGTTATGTAGAAAGTCATTTGCTTCCATTGCTATTACCTGTACCTGACCAGCCCTTAGATTTATGGTGGTTTCCTTCTGCTGCTTTCTGCCTTTGGTATTTTTTTTCTGTCTCCCATCATCCTTTATGGTATTTGAGGCATTAGTGGGTATAAGTGCAGACTGTAGCCTGTGCAGACTGGGTTTGGGTGCCCTTCCCGCCCTTGGCCCCTGTGTGCCTCAGTTTGTCCATCTGTAAAATGGGAATAAGAATGCTTACAGTTAAATGGGTCAGCACATGTCAATGCACGTGATGCTGCAAGTATGTAGACTGGTAAGCCCTTGGCAGTGTGGCACCTCAGTTACCACTACTGGGTTCACTTCTGTTCCTCCACCACATGCACACAATACTAATGCATTAGTTTCTAGTTCTCCCGGGGTTGAACCATTGAAGGCATAGAGGACAAGTTAACCCTCATGATATATGAGAAATTCCCGAGGTAGCTACTGGGCAATATAGCTATGAAGCATAGATGGGAACAAGCATTTTCCAGTTATGAATTTGAATCATGCAAAATAAATACTAAATTTGTCTGAAGTTCATTCTTCTTGAAGTTCTCACCTTTAACATAAATGCTTACTTTTCCCTGTAAAGACATGTAATTGAAAATAAAGAACAAGTTATATTAGCAGAATTGAGTTTGATTTAAAAATTGATTTGCATGAGCACTAAGAAGCAAATTTGCTTTTAAGCGGGTTTTTCCTCCTTGGGTCTTTGGGGTGCATTCTTGGCTCCCTGTTGCTGGCACACTGTGTGCCTCCCACTCGTCTCTCTTTGGTGTCTTCACAAGAAGTGTGGTGTGCAGGGCCAAAGTGGAAATTAGGGGGCTGGAGTCCGCAGCTTCATCAGGCTTCTGCCTTTTGCAGTGTTAGGGACTTTGGCCCTTGGCCAGCTGGGGATCTTGATTTTCTCCCAGTGTCGTCTTAGGGATGCAGGTAGAGGAGGGCCAGGCTGCACACCTCACTGCACCTCCACCCCACACTCACTAGCAGACCGGGAAACAGCTGGCACCTCACTGCACCTCCACCCCACCCCACACTCACTAGCAGACGGGGAAACAGCTGGCACCTCACTGCACCTCCACCCC